ACCGGGGGCTGGCAGCCGCCGGCCGGGGTAACCTTGTGGCTCGGAACATTGCAGCCATCCCTCTTAAGACTCCCATCAAGCGTTCATTTAGGAAATATTTCACTAAATGCCCACCTGACAGCACGGCCCCGGGAGATTGATGGCTCCGGCGCCTCTGAGGGCTCCGTGCCAGTGACTTTAAAATGTCACAGCGACACCCCCGGGGCGCTCCCGTCCCCTCCGGTGCCCGGGGCTGTGATGGGAGCGTCCGGAGGGCGCTGTGGGGCCGATCCCCTTCCCAGCCCCCTCAGGCTGCCAGGAGGTCCCTGGGCTTGTCCCGAGGGGTTTGAGAGCGCCCAGCACAGGTTTGTACCATCCCCAGCCATTTCCTCATCCCTGACAGCTCTCCCATGGCTTTGGGACATCCCCATCTCCAATTCCATCCCCATCCTATCTCCATCCACATCCATCCCTCCCCACTCCTGTGAGGGATCCCTATCCCATCCTCATCCCCATTTCACTCCATCCCATTTCCAACCCTGTCCCCATCCTCATCCCACCTCTATCCCTGTCCCTGTGCCATCCCCATCCTCACCATCACCTTATGCCCATCCTCATCATCACCTTATGCCCATCCTCATCTCCACCTCACTCCATCCCATCCCCATCCCTATCCCTATCCCTATCCCTATCCCTATCCCTATCCCTATCCCTATCCCATCCCAATCCTCATCCTCCCATTCTCATCTTCATCTTCATCTCATGGCCTTCCTCATCCCCATCTCATCCCATCCTCTCCCACCTCCTCCACAACTCATTCCAATCCTCATCCGCATGCCATCCAATCTCCATCCCATCTCCGTCCCATCTCATCCCACAGATCCCATCCCAACCTATCCTGATATCCCATCCCAACCTATCCCCATCCCTTCCCATTCTGTGCCATCCTCTCATTCCATCCCTGCTATTCTTTCTCTTCCCATCCCATCCCACCCCACCCCACAGATCCCATCCCATCTCCATTCCCATCCCATCCTCAGGGCAGGAAGGAGCTCAGCAGTCTCGGCAGAGCCAGAAGGGCCCCTCGGCTGCCACGGGAGGGATAAACAAGGAGCAGATTAATTAAAGCTCAATCAGTGCCATCCCTGAGCCAGAGCCTCTTCAGCCCTTTTCCCTTCCATCCCCTCAAACTCCTGGAAGAAGGAAGGATGTGATGTTGGGATGTGAACCCAGAGTGAGGGCCCTTGACAGTGAAATCGCTCTGAAGCTGCAAATGAACCACACAACATCAGGCCTGGATCGAGCTCCTCCAGCCTCATTAGGGGATCAGCTAATTAGGAAAACAGTTGGGAGTGTTGGGAAAGTGCTGCTGTCTCCAGAGGGACAAAGGGACAGAGGGGACAGTGGCATTGACCGGCTGGCAGGGCTGGCCCTGGCCCGGGGTGAGATAAAAGGGAATTGTGGAGAGGAACATTCCCAACACCCCAGCAGTGACATCCCTGGGATGCTGCAGCCTCCACCCCATCGGACTGAGCTCTGAGCAAACCCCAGAGCTTCTCCCCACAGAATCGGCGGGGGAATTCGGGCAGGGACCTGGGGCAGAGCAGGGGGAGCCAGCACGGCTCGTCCCAGCCTTCATCCCTGAGGAAGAAGCAGCGCGGCTGAGCCGGGCT